CACCGTGCGCGTTTCAACATCGGGCATCAGTTCGCGAGTTTATTCTATTTCGTACGGTTTACCTGCTATTTTCGTCCCGTATAAAAGGAGCATTTTGTACGGGGCACGTCGGAATATCGTACGGTCGGAACTCGGTACGCAAACTTGAATTTATAATGCACAGCCGATGCGTATAGGTATTTCTCTCTCTCTCTTTTATCGATACGCCGTATGGATTTTTCGCAGAACCGGGCAAACTCGCGTGCATTTAAATTTTAGATGCTCGTGCACCGCCCCAGAAAATTTCCTCGTTGAATTCCGTGGCCCATTCAAAGAAGCTTGCTCGGGTGAATCAAAATTATTCGAGAACGCGTATTAACAAGCGTTCATCGAACTTCTTTTTCATTCGTGTTTCACGCAACATACGGATTTTCGTTAATTTGTGCGATGAAGCGTATTAAAATTCTTCGATAGTCGAAGCACGTGGCGAACTTCGTAATAACGGGGAACTTTGAAAACTTTTGATGGCAGGCTTCCCAAAGTTTCGTTTCGGTATTGTATTACGTTTTAATCGCGCGGTTGGGGAATTATATCGGTTATATCGATGATCGAACACTTATATTTATATGTAACTCTTATAAGTATTGTATTATATTTCATTGTCAGGAATGGTAACAATTACTTCAAACAATTTCATTATCTTCATCTTACGAATAACATTAGAAAATTGATCATCAGGGTACAGCTTTTGGGCAGCCATCTTGGAAACACGAGGTCGGTAACGCACATAACCTAACACGTCACATTAAACGTTTGCATAAATGTTTCAAAGAAAATACGTAAATATAATGTTCTTATACAAGACACCTTCATTAAAATAAACTAATAACGTTCTTTTAATTAACATAATATAAAGATATTTAAAATAAACATTGAAGGTATGATACTTTCCAATGAAATATTTCTATGATGTGTAATATTGATTTTAGATATTTGTCTGTATTGTCATAAATAATATACATTTCTAATTATACTTCTTAAAATCACAATGGAGACAGATGTATTATATTTGACATACAGAAGCAAATGTATTCGATTTATGTACCACGCACACGTTCCACAGTTTTATAAGATGCACCCCGTTGCACAAATATGCGGCGTCCTAAAGAATAATAAACGTAGTTGCATTTGATCGTTCGCGAATGCTTGTTTGTTCTTTGTAACGTTCGACGTTCTGCATGCACTACTCATTAAGAAGAAATTAACGAGCGTTATTACGGAATATTTCGCGCGTGCTTTGTATATTTATTCGCGGCTGTAATTCGCAACGAATTGCATCGTTGGTAATTATACATTCTCTCTGAAGTCGTTCATCCGTTGCGTGTAATTTTATAATTCCTCGAAATTTTGAAATTACATTTCCGTTGCAAATTACATGCACTCACCGATTGCCTGTTTCTAGTTTTCATAGTTGTATCAAACGTTTGAACGGCAAGGTTCTAACAACTTTTAATTTAATCAGTTAACGTGAAGTTACAAATTGTATCTTTTGACGTTTCTAAAATTTAGTGACTATTTTACGGATTCTTTCGTTTCATTAAATTTTTAATTTGAATTTCTTTTAGTATGAATTTGAATATTTTTTAATTGGGATGTTCTTTGGGAATTTTTGAGATTTCTAAATTTTTTAATTGCAAATTTGAAAATTTTCTGATCTGTACAACTTGTGAATTTAATAATACGGAAACGCAGTGACGCAAAAATATACGTTAAAAAATACACGAAGTTTTAAATAAATACGATACGCATTAAGTGCGCAAAAGCGAAAAAATATGGAAATAAAATTCTCTCTAAATTCCTCGAATACTTTCAATAAAATTCGACAAACGTGTGATCTATGAACGTATTAAACATTCGATTTTCATTTAGTATCAATCGAAGTGTGCAGTCAATTTCAGTAGCACGAGTGTTTACAATAACGTATTTGTTATAGAAGCCATATATTTTTCGACGTTTCGACACCTATCGGTCGCGGGAGACATCCCCGAAGATACATATCCGAATTTGCATCTGCAAAGGGAGGCGAGAGATTGCCACCCTCCCATTGAGTTTCTGTTTTCATCGACGGGGGAATATTGGCATCGGTGCGGGTCTTCTCCCTGTAGAGCCCTTCTGGCAAAGAGCGTCATGGGGGCGATATACGATGACAAAGAAGGAGAGAAGTAGGAAAAAAGGGTGGGGTGCTCGAAAGGTCCGAAGTTCGGCAGACAGAAACAAACAGTCGCAAGCAGAGGGTGAAACAGGGTGAAGAGGACTTATGGATCTACAGGGTGTTTCTCGCAAATATTTTCGTTATTTAAAGGAAATGATCTGGTACAAATATAACGGAGTTGCATTTCTTAAGGTTCCCAAAAATTAATTCTTTGAAAGTTCTACTTCTAATTGGTTAACTGTGGAATTGGTACGTTTAATTGGTTAACTGTGGAGGTCTGTGTTGAAGGTTTCAATTTTAACAAATTTATTTCAGATTAGTTTATTTAAGTAAATTTTATTTTAATAAAGTAAAAGTTTCAAGTTTAGTTGCAAAATGAAGACACGTATGTTGATGACTCAGGTTATTAATTATATGAAAAAAGTAAAACATATAGGGTTACATTTATTGTTAGGGCAAAACCAATGACAGTCACAAATGTCTCGAGCTAACTTGTTATTATTCAGCAATTGTTATTATTATTATTATATGAAATGTAACTTTGGAAGTATTCGTGATGGACATAGAGATACCTTCTACTTTGAGACCTCAGGCGCCATCTCGTGAATCGCTTTAAAAAATATGGACTCCTTTTTGTTTACCACAATATTCGTGAAACAATCTGAGTACGTGTTCGCATATACGTAGCATCTGAGACGCGCAGAAAATTTGAAAGCAATAGATGGAAGAAACGAGGCGAGAAAAACCGAGGACATGTGGGGATTGAACGTAAGACGAAAAGAAGAGGGAAGCGTGCAGGAAGAAAATGGAAAAGCAAAGAAACAGTAGCCGGAGGGTAGAAAAATGAGATATGAGATACGAGCGAAGGAAGATCAAGAAATAGGTGAAGAAAATGGATAAAACTGGAGAAAAATCACGGCGTAGAAAAATGGGAAGAAAGGAAAGGGATCTATAAAAATGAAGGTAGAAAACAAAAGACAGAAACGAGGCGAATAACCGTGTTAAGCGGATCAGCGGTGGGTGCAAAAAAGAATGAAAAATAAATCCCAAGGATAGAATGTAAAGCGGTTTAAGATATACAGGGTGTTCCGCAATATGTACTGCAAGCACATATAAACAGATGATGTCTCTGTACACGTAATAAAATATGATGAAAATGCGAGAAGTTGAGGTTTGCAGAAAAAAATGTACTGTTTAAAATATCTTCACAAGAATTTGTGGAATAAGTGAAACTAGTTTTGTTATTTAGTGGAGAATGATCACATAACTAGTTTCGTTATGTGATCAATTGACATGATCTTCTTTACTAAGTTATGTTAGAACAGGTAAAATGTGCAGAGTAAATTTTTTTTACTTTACATTCTCAAATTTTTATATCAACTATGTTAATATACTATCAATCTACCTATGTACTATCTGAAGATACTCATACAACAATGTTCTGAAAATCTTGGGTCTTGCAATTTCTGAATCCTCAAACTATGTCTACAAATCTGAAGATGTTCATGTTCCTATGTGAGAATCCTATGCTGAGAATCCTTGGTCTCCAAATTTCTGGATCTCCAAATTCTTAAATCTGTAAATCTTACGACTCTCATAAATCATTTCTAAATTCCAGCATCTCCAAATGTCTACGTCCCTAAATAGCTTGATGTCCAAACCTTCTAGCCTCCCCTAGTTCTCCTTTCTGCATAATAAAATCTGTAAATTGTCAAACTTTCACCTCTCCAAATTCTAATTACTTCAAATTCTCGACAAATCTCCAGGCCTTGAAATATCCAAAACTCATTTACGATTCAATTGCCATATATTACCTAGAGTATATGTTACCTCGAGGTATACTATCTTGTATCTTACCTTGTATACCTCAGATTTGCTGCCGACTGTACTCTCCGCGATACCCCGTAGAAAGCCCGAGAAAATGCCGAGGATATAGTTGAATTCTAAAAAAGAAAGCGCGGAGAAATGACGAAAGTAAAAAGAGGAGTACGAAACAAGCAAAAGAGGAGGTGAGCAAAGAAGACCATGCATAAGAAGCAGGTACAGCGAGGAAGAGGAAATGGTGTTTCGAAAGTATCTCGACTCGCTACAATAACGGTACAGTTTTCAAAGGTCCAGCTGTATAATTTTTTCGCATAAATTTCTGCGGGAATGTTCGCGGTGGAAGATGAAACTGTGCCGTGGTAGCATTCGCTTTTCCGACTAGAAACCTACGAAAAAATATCGAGCCTTATACAATAGCATGATAACGCAACGTACTTGCTTTCTGCTTTTAATGCGGACATCTTGAGGATGACCTTTTGTTTTCTACCTAACCGGGATTCTACGTTTTGTGCTACCCTTTCTGGTTTAACCCTGTCGAGAACACTCGTGAAACTGAAGCGAGTTTACTTTTGGGAACCATTGTGGAGGTTTGGGGAAGTGTACTGTACTTTGGACACGTATGCAAATTTCATAATTTTCGGAGCAGGTTTAATATTTTTTTTGATGTTTGATTTTACTATTTTTTAATTTTCTAGTATTTAAGTTCAATTTTGAAATTTGAGGAATTCTCAAATTTTTAGATAAATTCTTAAGTATCCAAGTGACTGGATTTCTAAATAAGTACATTCTGAAATTTTAACACTTTTCAAATCCAAAATTATCGAATGACTCAAAGTTACTCAATGTGACTCAAAATCTTAAAACCTCAACATCACAAAGTCTTTAAGATCTGAACTCAAAGTCTCAAAATCGCCACGTCTCAAAGGTCCAACCTCCCAAATTCTAAAAATCCTAACCCTAAAAAAAATGCAGAACAGTCTGCAAAATGGTGGAACTCGATAACCGCCACAAGACACTCATATCTGCAAAAACCAGTCGTATGACCCGAACGAATCCAAGCTCCGTCCGCGATCGAGGACAAGAAATGAAATATTTCTGCGAAGAGTCGCATCTCCATAAGCGGAAGAGAACGGAACTGGAAATGGAAGAAAGGGAGAGAGATTCCGTGGGTGGACCGTTCAAAGCACGGGAAGTCTTTGGTAAGCAACAGCGGCGAGAAAAGGAAGAGGAAAAGCAGTCGATTGCGTGGCGTACGCGATAAAAGAGAAGCGGCCACTCGGTTGAATGCGAGCAAAGTTACCGGAATGCCGTTGGAGAACGTGGCGGGAAATAAAAAGACGGAAGAGAGGCAAGAAACGGAAGACTCGAAAAAGCGAGACGGGAACGCGAAAAGCTTCGCCGCGATAGAACAACGTGGTACTCCGAGGTGGCGTGTAACCTGTACCTGGAACGGGTAAACGGAAAAACAAAAGCGGGGAAAGAAAGCTCTTACGGGTGAGCTTCATTAAGCGGGGGGAGGCGTTATGCGGTGGTAGCGACGAGCAAATATTTTTTGGGGAGGTAATTTGGGGAGGTATTTGGGAACTTCATTTGGTAGTTTGGGTATTGGAGATTATTTGCATGTTGCGTTGGGAAGATGTGGAGATTTTAGTATGTGGACGTATGGAGATGTGGAAGTTTGAGCATGTGGAGATTTTAGTATGTGGGGCTTGGTTTGAGTATGTGGAGATGTTAGAATTTAGACATATGGAGAGGTGGAAGTTTGAATATGTGAAGATTTTAGTATGTGGACATATGGGGAGGTGGAAGTTTGAGCATGTAGAGATTTTAGTATGTGGACATATGGAGAAGTGGAAGTTTGAGCATGTGGAGATTTTAGTATGTGGACATATGGAGAGGTGGAAGCTGGAGTATGTGGAAAATTTAGAATGTGGACATATGGAGAGGTGGACGTTTGAGCATGTGGAGATTTTAGTATGTGGACATATAAGGAGGTGGAAGCTGGAGTATGTGGAAAATTTAGAATGTGGACATACGGAGAGGTGGACGTTTGAGGATGTGGAAATTTTCGAATGTGGAAACTTGGGGAGTTGGAAATTTTAGGATGTGGGAATTTGGGGAGATGGAAACTTTAGAGGGTGGAATATGGGGACTTGGGAATTTGGAGAGATGGAAATTTCAGAGTGAGAATTTGGGAATTTAAAAATTTTAGGAATTTGGAAATTTGGAGAGTTGGAAATTTTAGAATGTGAAAACTTGAGGAGCTGGGAATTTTAGAACATGGGAATTTGAGGAGATGGAAACTGTAAAGGGTGGAAGATGGGATTTGGAAATTTAGAGAGATGGAAATTTCAAAGAGTAGAAATTTGAGAATTTAGAAATTTTAGAAACTTGGTATTTGCCGTGCTCTCCACCCACAAAAATCTTCCTTCTGAAACGAAGAAGTAATCCATAATTACCCTACAAATTGATCAACTCTCTCTAACATAATTCAACCTTCACTTCATATAACGTTCCGTCCTCCTGATGCGTCCCTGCGAGGTGCGCTCTAAAAGGTATCTCAGAAGAAGAGTAACGAAAGAAAGAAACAGCAAAGAAGGGTGTGAAGAGGAAGGAGATCGGTTGAGTCCGCGAGGAGAAGGGACCGGCATAAACTGTCCCCTTTGTGCGGGAAATTGCGTTTTAATTCCCGCATTCAGGCTACCCTGGTACCAGCCGGCAGCGCTCGTATACACGCCATACACGACTTTCATGCATTTTACATGGTCACCACCTGCCGACACATTGCTGGAGCTGTGTAAAGACTGCTCGGGAAAGCGAAACGATGGCCAGCCTCGAAAGGGTCGCTTATCAACGGTCAGAAACCTCTTTTAGACTTTTACCGCGTCGATTTGCTAGTCATGGCCAATTGGCCTGGCAATAAGCATTACGAGAAACTACGAAGCTTGAGCATGTGGAAATTTTAATATGTGGATATATGAGGAGGTGGAAGCTGGAGTATGTGGAAAATTTAGAATGTGGACATACGGAGAGGTGGACGTTTGAGGATGTGGAAATTTTCGAATGTGGAAACTTGGGGAGTTGGAAATTTTAGGATGTGGGAATTTGGGGAGATGGAAACTTTAGAGGGTGGAATATGGGGACTTGGGAATTTGGAGAGATGGAAATTTCAGAGTGAGAATTTGGGAATTTAAAAATTTTAGGAATTTGGAAATTTGGAGAGTTGGAAATTTTAGAATGTGAAAACTTGAGGAGCTGGGAATTTTAGAACATGGGAATTTGAGGAGATGGAAACTGTAAAGGGTGGAAGATGGGATTTGGAAATTTAGAGAGATGGAAATTTCAAAGAGTAGAAATTTGAGAATTTAGAAATTTTAGAAACTTGGTATTTGCCGTGCTCTCCACCCACAAAAATCTTCCTTCTGAAACGAAGAAGTAATCCATAATTACCCTACAAATTGATCAACTCTCTCTAACATAATTCAACCTTCACTTCATATAACGTTCCGTCCTCCTGATGCGTCCCTGCGAGGTGCGCTCTAAAAGGTATCTCAGAAGAAGAGTAACGAAAGAAAGAAACAGCAAAGAAGGGTGTGAAGAGGAAGGAGATCGGTTGAGTCCGCGAGGAGAAGGGACCGGCATAAACTGTCCCCTTTGTGCGGGAAATTGCGTTTTAATTCCCGCATTCAGGCTACCCTGGTACCAGCCGGCAGCGCTCGTATACACGCCATACACGACTTTCATGCATTTTACATGGTCACCACCTGCCGACACATTGCTGGAGCTGTGTAAAGACTGCTCGGGAAAGCGAAACGATGGCCAGCCTCGAAAGGGTCGCTTATCAACGGTCAGAAACCTCTTTTAGACTTTTACCGCGTCGATTTGCTAGTCATGGCCAATTGGCCTGGCAATAAGCATTACGAGAAACTACGACTTGTGGTCAAAGGAACTTGGAGCACTCGAAGACCGGCTGTAATTAACTAGACTATCTTGACTAGACGGTCTGAATTGGATGGACAACGAAAAAGTTGTAGATAGCATGTTCTGAATTAGGTGAAATATGAAGAAGTTAAAGATTGCGTGGTCGAATGTGGAAATTTGGGGAGTTGGGAATTTTGGGATGTGGGGACTTGGAGGTTTGAGTATGTGGAAATTTTAGAATGTGGGGACTTGGTTTGAGTATGTGGAAATTTTAGTATGTGAACATATGGACAGGTGGAAGCTTGAGTATGTGGAAATTTTAGTATGTGGACATATGAAGACGTGGACGTTTGGGCATGTGGAGATTTTAGTATGTGGACATATGGACATGTGGAAGCTTGAGTATGTGGAAATTTTAATATGTGGACATATGAAGACGTGGACGTTTGGGCATGTGGAGATTTTAGTATGTGGACATATGGAGATGTGGAAGCTTGAGTATGTGGAAATTTTAATATGTGGACATATGAAGAGGTGGATGCTTGAGCATATGGAGGTTTTAGTATGTGAACATATGAACAGGTGGAAGCTTGAGTATATGGACATATGAAGAGGTGGACGTTTGAGCATGTGGAGATTTTAGTATATGGACATATGGAGAGGTGGAAGGTTGAGTATGTGGACATATGGAGAGGTGGAAGTTTGAGTATGTGGACATATGGAGAGGTGGAAGTTTGAGTATGTGGACATATGGAGAGATGGAAGTTTGAGTATGTGGAAATTTTAGAATGTGGAAATTTGGGGAGGTGGAAGCTTGAACATGTGGAAATTTTAGAATGTGAACCTTTAGGGAAATGGAACCTTGAGCACGTGGAAATTTTCGAATGTAGAAACTTGGGAATTTTAGAATGTGGGAATTTGGGGAGATGGGAACTGTAGAGGGTGGAATATGAGGATTTCGAAACTTGGGGAGATGGAAATTTCAGAGTGTGGAAATGGGAATTTAAAAATTTTAGAATGTGTAATTTTAGGAATTTGGAAATTTGAGAAAGTGGGAATTTGGGACTTGGAAACTTTCTAATGTGGAAACTTGGGGAGTTGGAAATTTTAGAATGTGGGAATTTGGAGAGATCCCTACTGTTTTAGAAACATTTGATTGGACTCTCTGGCTTAGATGTCCACGTAGCTGTCTATGCATGATGAGATTTTAACCTACTTCGAAAAATCGACGTTTTAAATAGTTGATATAATAATTGAAATAATATTAAAGTCGGATCGATGCAACGATGAAAGCGATTTTCCTTCAAAGTATCAGGTTTTTTCCTCGGTGTTCAAAGAAACGTACAATTTACTATTGCAGGGTATAATATAACCAACAACAAACGTTTACAGACTACACAGCTATTTACCCATTCGCTATTGATTCTTTGTGTTTGCATAATGCTCCGCAGAGACAAGGATACCACACAAAGCGAACGCAGTCGTTCTACCTGTCCATCTCGAAAATTATCGTTGGTTAAAGGCAAGATAAATACGAAGAGCAAAGTGTAACAAGTTAAAAGAGACTGTGATACTAGTTTCAGAATTTGGAAATTTGAAAGCTTAGCTTCACTTCAAAATTAATTTATCGATTTTAAAATTTTGAAAAAAAATTGAAATTTAAAAATTTGTGAATTAAGAAATTTGATGACGTAGGTATTTAATATAGCAGATTAAACAATTCTTAAGCAACCAGAATTCACAAACTGTAGCTTTGATATCGTACGAAAGTTTCATATATCTCTCCCTTTAATCAAGGATCCTCTGGCCCTTGATTGGCCGAAATTTCGTCGGAAATTGGTAATTTCGATGCAAAGAGTTGTAGCAAAAATTTATCGACGCCTTCGAGTTGAATGGGTCCCTCGATGGACGGAGTCTCGTTTATTAGTAATCCCGCAAATCTTTCGAGAGCACTCGACGAGAGGGTCAAACGGGCAGAAACGGTGCGAGCAAAAAGGGAACGAAGGACAGAGAAAATCAAACAGAAGGACAGAAGTGTACAAACCGTAGATAAGGGTTGCCGGTGATTGCCCCATAAAATATGTATGCCACGAGCGTCGACCTTTTTCTTCTCCTTCTCCACACCCTCGTTTCCCCGTCGTTTTCTACCTTTTTATACATGGCATGGACGTCTTCGATCCCTCGAGCAACAAGCCAGTCATCGCGGATTCATGCGAATCGCACGAAAAAACTCGAATAGATGAACCATCATTTAATGACACCCGCTATTACGAACTCT